GTGTGTGTGTGTGTGTGTGTGTGTGTGTAACACTTTTATTAAGGTACATTTTTAACCGATATGTAGCTCTCAGTCTACACATTCACTGTGTGTGTGTGTGTGTGTGTGTGTGTGTGTGTGTGTGTGTGTGTGTGTGTGTGTGTGTGTGTGTGTGTGTGTGTGTGTGTGTGTGTGTGTGTGTAACACTTTTATTAAGGTACATTTTTAACCGATATGTAGCTCTTTATAAGTATATTAGTAAACATATCGGCCCTTTATAATTTATTAAATTTTCCTTTTTAAAGCCATTTTCTGAGTATTATAGAACTAACCATCTATTAGAAGTTCTCCCTCAATAACCTTCTTTATTTACTGACAGTAGGTAGGGAAGTTGTTGCACATGACTTACCCTCATAAACTTATTTTTTTCCCCCTGTATGGGTCTATACATGGTGGCCAAACCCAGATACTGAGCTATGTTTATTCAGGTCATATTTCATGCTGCTTTACTTGCTATCGGCTCGCAGTATTGAGGAGGTAATTGAGCTGAATCTTAAAGTTTGTAGCTTACAATTTGTAAAATATTGTCATGCAGAATAAGTGTTTTAAATGACTCATTAAGAGCTCATTTTCAGCTCATATGAATGACAGTAAGCCATCATTAAATTTGGTATAATGTGTACCTTCTTATAAAGTCTCAGTGGTTTGTAGTTTATAACAAAAAAAGGATTGGAGCATCAGATTGGGAATTGCTTTTGCCAACAAGTTGAGGTAACAAATCACATTTCATTGCTGCTGCTTATGATGTAATAAGAATACTTAGAAGGCCAAGGAGAGAATATAAATCAACACAATTATATTAAGTTATTTAAAATGTGTGTTTAAATTTCTGTCCATTCATCTTTAGCTCATTCTGGTGATGTTTATCTAAGAACAGAGTATGTACAGAAAGTAACATGAAGAATATAGTATGATTTGTAAATGTGAAGATCAACTTTATTAACAAATTAGACCGACACGTTTTGGCTTGCAGCCTTCATCATGGTCGTAGGATACCTGTCGAAGGCCACAGGCTGAAGTACATTAATAAAGTTGATCTTCATAGTACAAGTTTTGCTGGAGCATTTTGACCTCTTCAAGCCTTCACTCTTCATGCGCCTCGGTAGTTGTTAAGGTTGTGATTTGTAAATGTGACACATTTGGCCATACAGGCTAGAATCTCAAACTCTTATAAAATACTCATCAAGATGTTTTACATATAAGCACTGTCCTTATGTTTCCTGCTTTTATTAAAGTAAAAGCCAAAGCTCACAGTTATTAGGAAACATAAAATAACATTTGGAGAAATTCACTGTGCTGGCTTCTCACCAACATGCTTCTTTGAATGATTCTTCTTCAGGTATGAGGAGAGTCAGCTGCATAAGAACATCTACGAGCTGCACGTGAAGTTACTCGCTGCAGACAAAAGCACGGTGATCTCAGAGCACTCTGTCCAGCCAATTGAGGACCGCAGCGCTTACTCACACAACTGGAAGGAGGTGAGTCGCTGAGTCCTAACAGGGACATGTGTATGCTGTGTGACGGCAGCTACTTTTAAAAGCTACCAAATGCTTTTTAGTAGCTACTGAGAGATGTTGAACTGCAGCAGAAGCTACCTGAGGGTCGGATATATTCACAAATAAAACTAGACAACAAAAAGTTTAAACTACCATGTCATAAAATGATCTGTTTGAAATGTAAAGGCGATAGAAAAGCATGGAAAGACATAAAAATCATGTGCAAGATTCAATTAAGTAATTATTAACACAAAATAAAACTCCAGATGTACAAAAGCACAAAGATAATGTGCAAAAGGATGTGCATTCAAAACAACAGCAACAACAAATGTGCATGGACTTGAACTAAATAGGAGTATTTATAAGGCACACACTTAGAGAAGAAGTAATTTAGTTTTACCTCAGTCACTATGTTGAGAAGTGAACGTAACATCAGCTCTGATTTAGTATGTAATGTCCACGAGTCAGACACCTGCCTTGAGAAACCCAGAGTCCAGTCTGAGGTATTGCATGTGATCCAGGTAACATCTAAAACTGACCGCAACAACGTCTGTGAACATGAGTTAACTATAGACATGATCAAAAACTATAACAGACACCTGATGATTATGAACTTACAAAATACTCAACTTTACAGATGATAGTCCAGCTCCCTTTAAAAACACCTAAGACCAGTGGTGTAGTGCAGGGTGTATGCAGGTGTACAGAGTATACCCACTTCTCAATCCCCTCTGATTACCACCATTGATTGATTGGCAATATTCAGAATGCAGCAATTTTTGTTCCTCGGATGGTGAAGGGATTATCCTCCCTACTCTGTCTCTATTGGCTAGTACGCACACACTGACTTAATATGCAAGAGTAATCTTACATGTCACTGTTTACAGCAGAGGACATTTTTTGATCTGCTAGAAGGGCCACTTTTACAAATACAAACAAATTAAGAGTATACCCACGTCTTTAGGCACTACTACACCACTGCCTAAGACCTAAACCTGTCCTAACAAAAATCAAGAAACCAAATCATTTTGTTCTTTAAAAATCTATGTTCAAAACCAACTTGCACCTACCTTTCTTCTTGTATCAGTTTCAGAAGGTAAATCACAAAAGAACAGCGTAACGTCATTTAACTCCCTCAGTCACCTTTTTCTCCTTCTTCATCTACATCCCTGTCATACAATTGACAAGTTTTGCTAAAGATTTGAATATTCTTTGATGTCCCTCATTGTTGGAATGAAAAGTTGGCTTCTTAAAGTTTGTAAATTGTAAATCAAGGCTGTGAATGTGGTACATTTAGTCAGCACATTATTTAAAATGCTGACCAGGCGGTTTCAGTTAAACGTATCAACAGGTGTTCACTTCTCAGGAGAGTTAGAAGCCCTTAGCATGAAATGTAGTTGCAGTACTAGCAAGCTACAGCTTAATCAAGTTAAACCATTTTTTTTTTGTTTTTACATGTGGTAATCTTTACTCTTAACTTCTTCCTGTCCTGGTTTCTGGTTCCTCATTGTGTGTCTCTCTGTTGGCCTGCAGGTGTCACACGTGTTCTCTGGTTATGGACCCGGAGTGAGATATGTTCACTTCCTGCACCGGCTGAAGAACATGTTCCTGAATGGGTTCCACCAAACTCTGTTCACCAGCAGCTCAGTGATTGTCAAGCCAACAAAAACCAGTTCCTAGACTGGATCTTCCTGAAAACCTGCAGAGCACATACATGTAAACAAGCTAACACATTCAGTATAACCAGCATGATCAGCACATAAATACCAAAGTCTAGTTATTCAATGATTTTACTGTACTTACAAACATTACAGTGTGCCTTCATCAGTGCATTTATATGCAGTTTTTAATCTTTTTATGCTGATTATTCTGATTTTGCACTTGCTTAACTATTTGTGCAATAATAAAGGACTATTTCCTGAATTCACTGTTTATAATTCATTTTAATCCCATGTTGACCTTTTTAAACTCCCATTCACTATTAGTATATGATAGATAGATAGATAGATACTTTATTGATCCCGAGGGAAATTCATTGTGTCAATATATTGTGAAGTTCTTGATAGTGTAGAAAGCAGCCTCAATTACCGTAAATATTCTCAGATCTTTTGACTTATAGGAGGACTGCATGTTATAAAAAAACATCATTATGGAAAAACTTACTGTACATTTTCTGCTGCACTGAAGTGAAACTTGTTTATTTTCCTCAAGTTAGCAGGATTGTTTTATGAAAACCAATGACAGAAGGCACATCTTTATAAACAGATAATACATAGTCTCTAGCTCATAATTTCAAATGCATAATAAACATGTACTTTCAGCTAGAGGCAGTTTATAGAACAGTAAGGGCTAAGGGCTGCAGTTGATGTAGACCAAAATCCTTAATCATTTTAAAATGGCTTGATTATAAAAACCTGTTATGAACAACTTGACATTTATTAACTGTGTAGCCGTAGCCTTATGGCTTATTACAGGAAGCTTGATGAAAACAACCTATGTATTATTCATAATGAACATATACAAAATGCAGACTTGACTAAAACCCTTCATAATGGCTTTTCAATAAGCATGAACTGCAGACTTGGGGATGGATACAGAGTGAGACACCTATGAGCATAATCTTTTTTGCATTATTGAACAACACATGGCTTCATTTTTTTTTAACCAAACTGAAGAGATAGATACAAGCAAAAGGGATATTTTTCAACTCTGACTGTCTCAGAGATGTCTTTCTTTCACTTTGCAATGAATAACCTTATTTGAAAATAAATATTAGAAAACCCACAATTTTCCAGGTAAACCCCTCAATGGTGGTTGATATAAAGTAGCATACAGTTTGAAAACGTGGTACAATGGGAACATATTAAAAAAAAGTATATAAAACAAGTTCCCAACTCAGAAAATAATCACTTGTGGATGAATAGCCTGTTATTATGCAAATATTATCATGCAAATAGTGTAGTTGTAAATTCAAACACATTAAAATGTAGTTCCTTCTCTCTTTATCCTGCCTGAAAAACAATGGCTACAACACAAACATGCCAGTGTTAGTCCATAGTAGCGGATGTGTAAAAAAAGCCTAACTGAGCTGAACTCAGGTATAATAGTAACCAGGTATGCAGCCTCGCAGTTGCGCACTTTCCACTGCTTGTGCTGCCTTCATGTGCCCTCGAAAATAATATGGACGAGATGTTAGCTCATAAAGTAAACCAATTTAACTTGCCTGATCAAAAGCCAGCTGTTTGATGCTTGATTCTATAAAAAAACTAAATGCCTTACGCATCCATATTTTAGTTTTAACTTCTGACCTCAAACAATAACAGTATTGTCACACAGGTCTCTTTAAAAACGTGACACTGTCCGGACCGGGAGTCTGTTGGGGACCGTGAACGCAGCACCTCCTCCGCCGCGTGGACTCGCAGCAGCATCACCGTTAGTTGACTGCGATGTGAGTTACCGGGAAAGTTCACTCTGTGAGTTCAGACCGGGATAGTTTTACCGGGCGTGTGTTCCCAGACTTCCAGAAGCAATGGCAGCGTTTGGTGGAGCCGTGCCATAAAGCTGAAGGTAAGAAAGGTAGAGAGGGATGACGTCAGAGAAACAGGTGCGGGGGGATAACGGTCTTTTTTAGGGAACACTGCTGACGGCGACGCCCTGGTGACCTCGTCCGTAGTTTTGATTGATAACGAACTTATAATAAATAATACACCGTCGATACTACTGAAGAAGCAATGGGCTGAGATACTGACCAGGAAAACATCAATATTACTAAAAAAAACAGTAAGACTTGAACACCTTTTATTGATGAAACTGAGTTAAGTTTTCCAGCAGCCTCCAGTTGAAAAGATGCTGCTGCACCTTTATTCAACTTTTCTGTCTGTGACATGTTACAACTACAAAAAAAGAGTTATTTCATCGGGCTTATTGGGCAAAAACAAGCAGCCTATAGCCAATCTTAAAATAATAGTACAGGGATTTTACATGTGTTTCTAAATAATTCACTAATAAAATACAAAACGCTTTGAGTGCTCTGCTCACAATCATCAGGTGTAACCAATTTACATCTTGGTAACTGTTTTGCATACACACGTTTGCCCTGTGAACAGTTTTTTGTAGTTAATCAAATTGTTAAAAGACAAAATCGATCTATTTGAATTTGAGCTTGTTCTACAGATAGATGTAGAATAGTCTAAGCGGGGGAAAGTTAGTTATATTCAAGCATGTAGACTACGTTCATGTGGTCAGAAACAACTTAAGAGTTTATTTTTAATGACTAAAACCTTAGGGAGTAAGCAAAGTATTTAATATAAGCATGTACTTAAGGTCTCCTTAGTATTCTATAAGTACTAGTACCGTTTTACTGTCAATGTCGGCTATTTAAAACAAACTTTTACCACCTTAGTTCACACATGGATTTGTCGTTTTTTGCTCTCACACTGGAGGCTGTATTGCCTTTGACACATCATCTTTCACAGTCCTTTACTTTGTCTTTACAATGCTGTAGTTGCTCTTTTTATTTGACTGCAACATTTCAAAAGCATTTAGACTTCTGAGCATTATTTCTACAGGATTTCCACTTTGTCTTGAAGCCCATATCTAGGAGTGTGTTTGTATGTTTGTCTGAGAGTTTCTGCTGGGCATTTATAGAAGAAATAATCGATTCTCTTCAGAAGAGCACTCTGTTTTCTCCCTGGCATTTCCTGTTAAGGTCTGAACTTCAGGGCTGACATTTAACTGACATGAAAGCATCGTCCATTTAGCAGATTGGCTGTGTCCCACTCGCCCGTCCATCTCTTGTGTCCACCAAAGCACTGCCTGCACACACAGGTGTGTGAGGAGCTGCTGATGTGTGAGACAGCAGGTGTTGACTGCAGATACACTCTCAGTGCCAATCCATTATATTCAATTACACATATTATAGTATTTATATCTCTTTTCCGATAAGTATCCAAAAAGGCACTATGATCTCTCTCTTGGATTTTCATTTTTTACTTTATTTATTGTAATGCATCTCATATGCTATAAACATGAAATATACATGCTGGTTAAAATGAACAGTATCACATATTTGCCTTAAAGAGTAATTCCTTTATCAGAACAATAACAAACAAATCGCATCACAAGCAATACATTTATGATATTAAAACAGACGGTTCTACACTGAACTTTTACGTAGTTGAACCTATATTGAAAGTTTTCTTATTGACTCGTTCACAAGTATGATTAGGGGTCGGAATCGCAGAGTAAATTGCGACAGGATATGGGATACATGGTCCTCAATAATGATTATGTTACGATCAGTGATTCGGCGATAATTGATATATTGCAAGACAATCATCTTACAACACATCAGGATTTCCGATTAACTGAAGAACACAAAATATCATTGTAGTTTGGTGTCAATTTCAGCTCTTATCACACTTCATCTCATCCCTTTATTTTTTTTTCAAGTAGTGATGCAGTGAGTGGAATTGGCAGGGAAATCTGTTAAGAGTGGCATGTTTTTTAAACTTAAAATACCAATATTTTATATTGCTGTATTGGTTGTTGTGGGTTGTTATCTTTTTATATCACAGTACATTTTAGGTAGAGTTAAACATTAACCAAATAGCCCCAGGCAAGGAAAAGTTACTCTCTGTCTACTGAATATTACATGTAGTGTTGTCCCGTCTGGCCCCTAAGTTGGGAACAAAGGATGATTCTTAATGTTATTTTGTTGTGTTTTAAATCCAGTTTGTCACAGTTAAAGCCTCCTGGCCTGGGTTTAGTCTCATTTGTCCACTACATTAATGGCATTGGTTAAATGGTTAAAAATGTTAGAGGCTGTGTCTGAAATCACTCACTCATTCCCTACTCACTACTAAATAGTGAGTTATATGTAGTGGACTATATAGTGCACTCACTCAGTCAGGAAAATTAAAATACATATGGACACTCGCTCATTTGCAGGCCGCTGACAGTGACGTCATTGTTATCGCGCAACTAAAATGTGCAGCTTAACAACGGCTGAGGATCAATAATAACGGTAAATAATGAATTTCAGTTGATAACTTTTCACAAAACATTTAAAAATAATAAATTAATATAAATTATTGAATTTTAGATATAATGAAAAGTATTTTTGGACCAAAAGTCACAGACTGAGTGTCTCGAGTCAAACGCCACTCTCCGCTCGTAAAATAGTTTTGAAACCGCAATGCATGATGGTATATATTGGTCGGATAGTAACCGTGACTGTAATTTTTCACATGTCGTTACACTTCTTTAAGACGGAATAATTGATCAAGTAATCAAAAGATTTATACAAAATAAAAACAAGTTTATGTTAGAACTCTTTCATGAGATGTGTGTAGTCTACTCTTCAGGTTTTTTTTTTTTATATAATAGTACTGTATAGAGCTCAACAGTGACCGCCCACTTTTTCGGTGCCTCTTGTTCGGGAAGTAAATTTCCCCATTCAAATCCTCCCTTCATTTTTGACAAAATCCTTATATCAAGAGATTGCCACCTGGAACCAAGACAGCCTGCTACCCCAATACTTGTGACTATATTACATTTAATTCGGCACCAAAACGCAAGGCGGAGTCAAGGAACTACCCATCCCACAATCCATGATATAGTTTCTTCTTAAAAGTAACTTTTGTCGTTGTTATAGTGTTTATACTTAAGATTATCATTATTATCATTATTATTATTATTATACAATTGAAATGTTGTACTATCTTGTAGTTTATGTTGTGGAAAGTAAACTACATTCACATGACAAGGTTATCAGTACATTTTGTGTTAGCTAACTAACTAGCTAGCCTGCTAGCGAAACTTATCTGTTCGCATACGGCACAGAGGGGTGGGAAACATTGCCATGGTAACAGCAGGTTCAACCAATCAGAGACGTCGCTGTGACACTCTTTGATTGTGGGCAGTGTAGTTCTTTGCCCCGATATCGCAAATCTTGTTTTTCTTAAAACTTGTCATAAGTTTGATGTCATAAGAACTTGTGTCTCCTACAGGAGCATATGGTTTTACACTCTGCTTATGACATTATGGCTAATAATCAAATCTGCTTTGTAGAAAATGAATGGGACTTTTACTTCCAGAACCACACTAATGAGCCCTATTGTCTTTGTTGGCGTCCAAGCCCAGACAATATGTGTTGGGGTTGAGAAGTTAAATCCAAGCAATCCACCACTGAAGCACACTGATACTTATCCTGAAATGCAACCCTCCCTCCTCGCCCCTCTTCTGTGACACCTCAGGTAAACCAACGCTGCAGCATTGTGTGCTAGAACCGAAATGCGTGCCATCACACAAGTGCCACGGGACAAAGGGCCACACTACACCTCACGTTTCTCTCACATTTCCTCCACGATAAGTCAGTTAAACTGTAGAGTTGATCAGTGTCTTTCACTGCAACTGCTCATTCACTTATTTTAGCAGTCAAGACAACTATAGACAGGTCTCCATTTACTCTGAGTGATTATAAACACTTTGCTTCATTTTGTTATATCTTTATAATGCTTAATATAATAAGTCACAGTGGCTAAATGCACTGCTGAATGTGTCTTGAAACACCATTATCTGTTATGTTCATACCTTGTATTCCAACTTCAATTTTGTAAAATTTCTCTGCTATAGCCTAAACATTTTTTGAGTGACATTTAGCCTCTCTTGTTTTTTTTTCTATGCTGTTTTATCTGTTCTTTTTTTGGCCACAGTTAAAGGTTTTCTTTGGCTCAACTATTTTGTTAATTTAAAAAAAACCTCTTAATAATCCCATAATTTTGGTTTTGTGAAGTTTGAGGTTATAGTATCTACTGCAATGTATTACAATTTAGCATGCTCTGTGAATGTGTGTGTGTGTGTGTGAGTGTGAGAGTGTGTGTTTGTATGAGTGGCTGGGAGAGGAGAGTGAGTGCTCTGGCGATCTGTTTTGTTTTCACTGACTCTCTGGTCCATTGTGTATTCAGGTCCGCTGGCTGTCTCTGCATACTTTGTTAACATTTTGTTGGTCTAATCTAGTTTGTTCCTCTGAATTCGAGCAAAGAATATGAGCCAGTTCAAAAATGTTTAAAAAAGAAAGAAAATGTTGGTTAGTGCTTTGATGAACTGTGCGTGCTTGTGCTTACTTACTGTTATTCTTTAGGTTGCTTCAACATGTGATGTCAATATGTTAACTCAGACTAGGTAATAAGTAAAGATTTTCTTCTTTCTAAGATAACAGTCAATTCAAAGATCAGTAATTGGTCAAGAAGAGACAGTTGCAGCAAAGTGAGAGCAGCTATGTTTCTACAGCTGGCCCCAATTCATTGTCCTATCACCGCTGACATCCAGCAGTGTGTGTTTATATTTTCTCTCTGTTATTGATGTTTCTGTCAGCATCTTGAATATTGCATAACTGGTGTCCCTGTCTGGGTTCATGCTGAAGTTGAGAATGCTGTTCCTTCTAAGGTGACAGTGGCTGGGCAGAGTGTCTCAGGTAATGGAAACCTCAGGAGCTGCTGTCTGCTGGTTGTCATTCGTTTGTCTACCAACCCCTTTTTGTCCACCTCACCTCCGGCCCCATGCGG